AATATATCCCTTCCTATGGTCCGGAAGGGAGGTGTCTCCTCCTGGGTGCTGGAGAGGAGGCTACAGAAGTCAACAGGTCGGGCATGTTGCTACTCAGTCTTCTTCCTTTTCCATCCTGAAAATACCAAGCACCTCCTAGCAACTGCCTTCTCTAAACAGAGCCCTCACAAAGGAAGCTCCCTTCTCTCCAGAGCTAGGTTACTTAAGCTGTCTGTGCAGTGTCTCAGCACCTTAAACCACAGCTATTTCCTTTTCCCATGCCCAGACTGCTGGGAAAATGATTTGCTGGTTCTGGTCATCTTTTCTTCTTTCCTGTGGAGAAGAAAAGTGTCTTGTATTCTGGGCTAGGGCTCTCTGGGATACACCTCCCATCTGGGCAGCACGAGTCTCCTGGGTTAAGTACTGGTTGCAGACTTATGCCCTGTTCCTGCACATCCATGACTTTCTCAGTGGCAGCAGCAGAGCCCTCCTCGCATACTACCATGGAGTCCGAGGCAGGTTGCTGCAGAGCAGCAAGTCATCCTTCCTGCCAACAAAGAGCAGGGGCACAACCCCTTTCCACTCCCTGCAAAATAAACTGGGATTCTTTTGATACGCCAGCCTTAGGAAAACAAAGCTGTTTCCACTTAGCTTGGCTTCTGGGCTGAGGTGCAGCTCCACCCGCACAGTGATCCATCAGGGCTTTGCTTCTCTGGGCGGAGATTCAGGCTGAGATCAAGAAGAGGGAGGATTTGCAGCTAGTCCATGCTAGAAGGGCCTCTAACACCCCTAGGATTTGGGTCTCCAGAGCACTCCCTGTTCCAAACAGCACAGCACCAGAGCCTCCCAGCTTCTGCGGCAGCTCACATGCCCCCGCAGACTCCTTCAAATTGCCAGCTCTAAATCTCCACTGAGCTATGACGGGCTAAAAGTCCTTGGGAAATGGTTCTTATTTCTCAGGCTGTTTTTCAGGAATGAAAGCTTGAGCATCACCAGCTTCAGAATTAGCAAAGTAATTCCAGAGCTACCCTTCTTCTATCCATGTCTCTTCCTATGCAAGTGCTGAGGCTGGAAAAGGCCGGACATGAGTTCTTTAGTCCCAGGAAGAAGAGAATAGACACAGGATGGGGAAACCAAGGAAACAGTGATTCTTTGCTGGTACCTATCCAGCTACAGATACCGTTGTTTATGTGTAACCCTGAATCACCAACACCCATGCACAGGAAAATGGTCAGGCTGATATTGAAGTCCCCATTTCACAGGACTGCTAGTGTGCTTAGAGATGGATATATGACTGTTACATTGAGAAGACCAACAGGTCCATTTGCTAACCCTCACATCTGCCAGTTGCAAATATGAACCCACTCTGTGGCACATCAGTCCAAATCTAGTGGTCAAGGAGCTCCTATTTCTCACTGAGATAGGGCATAAGGCAGAGATAAGGGCATAAAACAGCAACTTTTTGCTGTTACATTCATGCCTCCTAGGCTGACATACAGTGCAGGGACAGAGTTGGGCGCTCCCAGCTAAGGTGTCCAATACGTAAATGAAGGCTCATAGGATAAGAGGAAGTCCCATGGACTCTGGTAGACAGGCAGTTTCATTGGTTTTTCTAAGCATCTCAGTAGCAGTCTGAAAGGTAAATCATCATGAGTCCAGTTAGTTGAGGCTAAGAAATCATTTGAAACCAGCCCCACCTCTTAGGGAAATGGGCAATATTTTATCCATTCAGTTTCTGTATAACCCAGGAGGCGGCTCTCCTACCTCTGTGTGAACACTTTCTTCAAAACATGCTGAAACCAAAATCAGCCTCCTCCCTTAGAGAGCAGGTTTCTTGGGAGGATACATGTTTTTGTTGTATGTTTGTACAGCATCAAATACAGCACTGTTCTAGTCCATGACTTCAGAACTTCTAATTGCTACCTTAGTACAAATAAACACAAATAAAGCCAATATATACACAAATAAATAAAAAGAGAATGCAAATCTTACTTGTGTAAGGATTCGTTTCCTTTCTTGGCACAGCAAGATATGGCTCAGAAGTCTATAAGCTCTCACTTTTGTGCAATTCCTCCTTGTTACCAATGAAAATGTACAGGAAGCTGAAGACTGATCATGTGTTTTGGATCACAAAGTCATCTCATAGCAGGCCTGACCTGGAAACACCATTGGCGTTGCTCTCGTGACCTATCCAAGACCTTTTTCTACCATTTCCTTCTCAACAAATCAGACAAGCAAGCCAGCTGCAGCAGGTTCAGGGCCGCTATGAACCTGCAGTTGGAAACTGGAAGAGTTTATTGGAAAGAGGCAATGTCTCAAAAGCACAACTCATTCAGGAGGAGACCAAGGACTGGAAAATCCATTTAAGGTGTTCCCCTCAGACCTTAGAGTGATCAGAAAGCCAGCGAAGTTGAGTGCAGGCATGCACTCCCTGACAATTGATCCTTGTACCTGCAATTCTGTGTAAGATCTGCTGGCTTCTGAGATGGCCAACATGCCTGTTGCTTAGTGCCTGTGTGGAGAAAGTCTGATGCAGAAGTGCATCAAGCACCTTAGTGACCACACAGAGTGCTTGTGATGTTTGACTGTAGGAACCAGGCTTCACATTCAGATGAGCTGGAGAGCAAGGTTTTATGAGAGGAATGACCAGTCTAATAATTGGCTGCTCCCAAAAGCAGAGTCCACCACTTTTCTTCTTCCCCACTCCTAGCGTTGCAGTTCTGCCCAGTCCCTCATGTGACCCCACTAAGTGGCAGAAAATTACTTTTTTTTTTTTTTTTTACTATTTTAACTTTTTGCTGCTTTATTGAATTAACTCACCCAGGGGTCAGGTGAACAACAGAGCCAAAGCCAGTGCAAGGGAAGCAGGCGGATGACACAGCCAGGGACAATGGCAATAGAAGTGCCTGTTCAGCTGTGGCACTTAAAATTACTTTGGGGACTTTGGGGACTTTGGGGACTGTCACCCTCTTACTTTGTTCCACAGGTAGGGGAGAAGTTGGATAGTCAAGGAGATTCAAAAATATTCAGGAAACAACACAACTAAAAGTTGAAAAAACTTCTAAGTCATGCCAACCTGTGCCATGGGGTACGGCTTGCAGATAAAATCCTGGTAGCAGAATTGTGCAGGGAAGTCTGTACTGACTGAAGTCAGACCTTCTAAAAATGTAGACAAGTGCCTGGAGAGAGGCAGCTCCCTCCTGCAGAACCCGACTATGCAGATCATTTCATATCACTTGAGAAGGAAACATAGCCTGTCCCTGTGGCACAACCTACTATGGAAGCAGGAGGGGAATCAGTATTGGCTGTGGCCTGGGATCCTACCTGCAGTGACTGCAAGAAAGAAATGGCAAATGCGGTCATTGAATGTGGGATAAGGCAATTCCCATGGCTTCCACGGGGTAGGAACAAGGAAAGGCATGATGTGGTCCTCAGTGGAGTCCTATTTCCTTGGGACAGGGCCAAAGGATCTAAGGTATAAAAGGCAGCTGGGCATTTACCAATCTAAGCTCAGCAGCCACTAGACACTGTGTCTGACTGTCTGCACAGTAATACTCTGCCAATGCCTGCACAGTCCTGTGCCCTCTGTGCAGATCCTGAGGTCATGTTCCTTACTAGGAAAGCCTTGAACAGGTGGCATATCTCCAAGGGCATTGCTCTCTCTGCCCTCCACTTTTTGCACACAGAGTACTGGTTTGGAGGGCCAGGGGGAGGTATTTGCTGTGGAGAATGTTGTGAGTAATGAGCTGGATCGTAGGCGTGTGCTAAGGCTGTGTGCTACTTGTGAGCTAAGCCTCTCTCAGGGCGGCACTGATGTAGGCTTGGCAATGATGTTTGTTTTGCCTGAATTTGGTTCCCACCAGATAGTCTTTCATTTGGGCACCGAGATACACTGGCTTCAGTGAGCCAATTCACCTCAATTTCTTTTCAGTCACCCAAGCTCCTCCAAAACTGTCAATGTCTGAGAGTAACTGTCTAGAGATGTCTCCGGCCCATGCATTGCCTCTGCCTCAGGAGAGACGGAAAGGCAACAGACACTTTAAAAGTAAACCTTCGAAAAACAGAAAAACAAGAACCAAATTGCCCATTCTCCAGGCACCTCTGATAGCATCTGCTTCCACAGGAGACCGCATGTAATTTCTCTGCTGTGGTGCCAACCAACAATATGACGCCTTTTGTAGTAGCAGCAAGAAATACACAGGCATTTACAGGTGGTGTGGAGTCTAACATTTTCTCCCATGTTCATGGCCTCTTAAAGAAAAGCAGAGGTGTTTAAAAAAAAAGAAAAAGTGGGTATTGTTCTGTTCCAGGAGGCACCACCATTCCCAACCTCTCCAACCCTGTCAAGCTGCCAGAATAACAGAGGTGCTGGTCAGGGAGCACACTCTTCACAGTTACTGCCTCCATAAACAGACAAACCACACTGCCAGCAAGGCTTCACAAAACGCAAAATGTGGCTGAGCTCAGCTAACACCTCATAGCTGACTGAGGTAGCTAGGCTGAAACCAATAAGCATTTTTGACACACAAGAAACAAGGCAATGTCACAGTTGTCACCCTAAGCCTAATATGTTCTCTAGAAGAGTCTTTCCTTTATAGACCACTCTGAACTCCAACAGTTGCATCTTTGCTTCAGCACCAAATATGCAGGCACTTAACCAGGTACAAAAATGACCCACAAAACAGTAGGGTGAAAAGGCTACAAAACAACTAGCCCAATGATTGCTAGAGTTTCTCAGGATACTCACCTCAGATATGCTATGTGTATCATCACTTTCACTCTTATTGGCACATCTCAGACCTATGTTCCTTCCCGTGGGTATGATTTGGGCATACTTTATTAAATACAACTGCTTCTGAAAGAAACTAAAACCGCACTCCTCAGTGCGCACTGCTACTGTCTCAAAGACAGACTAGGGCAGTGGTGAGACTAAGGGTATGGAAGCTTGGGCCTGAACTGGTGTGACAAAGCACATCATTCTGTTTGTACAAGCGTCCTTTTGGGAACTGGGGTTGACTTACTCAGACGGTGAGTGCCGTGGGACGAGTGCCTGAGCCACTCTCAGGGAAGCTTCTCTCTCTGCAGTGCTGGTCCTCCTCCGGAAAGAACTTGCAGGGGGCTGGAAAGCGGCAGCAGCACCAGGGGGATAATATTCTTGCTCAGGAACAATTTCTTCACACCTGGATCCCTGGAAGCCGGAACGACAGATACAGACTTGGGGCCGACTGCAGGAGCCCTTGTTCTGACATGGAGGGTCGCAGACAGCTGAGGAGACACAGAAAGGCAGTTAACGGGATGCACGGCTCTCCAGGCAGCGTGCTCAGTGCTGATCCAGGCACCTTCTCTTAATGCCATGGCGGTGCACATGGTGGGCAGCACAGCCAGGGAGATCCCATCTCCTGGCTGCTTTCTGCTCCTGCAGGTAGATCCTCATGAGGAGGATTAGGCCAAACATTTCACACACACTCATTCCTACTCTGGCCTGGCACTAGGAGCAAAAGGCTCTGTATTATTACTGCCATGAATCCCTAACACAGGGCCACTGCCACCAAAGGGGGAGGCCTTGTTTCTGTTCCCACAAAAAATGGGCACCAGGGTTTGCCCAGGAAAGCTCTTCATCTCCGCTATGCCATGTAGAGCTGCAGGCAGAAACAGGGACTCACACCGCACAAGGAAAAGAAAAAAGACATGGATGAGGCAGACAGCAATGCCCTATTGCAGCCTCTTGGGAGCAGTTCACATGTTATGGTACTGTTTTATTATGATTCAGTATTTGATTTGCACAGTCCCCCTATCCTCTCCCCTCGGGAACATTCCAGCTCTCTCTGCACCAGCTAATTTTGGAGTGACCATGCTGAAATTCCTCCGCAGCTACAAGGACTTACAGTTCATTAATTTCATGCCCAAATCACTCTCCAAGCCTGTGTGTGTTCCTAATTACAGCACATCAGCTTCAGTTTGCACCCCAGGAGGAAAGTGCTGTTAATTATACACTGTACCCTAACACTTCCCAAGTTAACAGATGCCAAATTTGGTTTATAACCCAGTGAGCAAAAGCCAGAAAATCACAGCTTGCCCAGGTAGTACCAGGCTAGTTGTTCTCAGCAAGCATAATTAAAAGGGCACTGAAAGACTCCCTTCAAAGAAGCAAAGGGCCAGGTAGCTGAAGAGCAGTAAAACCCCACTGGCCAGTGTAAGACAAACATTAATCTTCACCTGAGGCACAGCCACTTGGAAACACTGTGGAAGGCTCGAGTGTGCAGTGGCCACTTCTACTCAGGGCTTATTAACCAGAACTCCCCCACAGAGGTAGCAGGAGCAGTGTGACATCCCAGCCACCTTCACACACAGCTACTTTGTTTTCATGAGCCCATCATTCCCTCTCTGACTATGCTCTCAACACAACATCCATCACTGTGTGATGCAAACACTTCAGCAAAATAGGCTACTTCTGGACAACAAACTTATTTAGAGCTCCAACCCCATGTGCCATTCACATGCCAGCCCCCCTGCATCACCGTGGCAAGGGAAGTCTTGCACTGCCTCTGAGCCCCTCTCACAGCAGAGTAGGAAGAAGCTTTCCAAAACCCTTCCTCTCATCCCAAAACTGGTCTGTGATCAGTTCTCCAAACTATATCAGCGATATGTTGGCTGGAACATTTCCTTTGAGCTTTATTACTATGTTGCTGCTCAGGAAGGAGGTAGATGTCAGGCAAAGGGAGAACCCAGATCACAGGGCTGTATAGGTTAAAACCAGAGCTTTGGATGAAAGGCCTCCTTAAAATAAATCAAACACCACTGTCAACCCTGGAACAGAGACAGGGCCCTGGTCAGGCAGGAATAGACCATCTCTGGGAAGTCCGGCACTCCAAAATTTGATGTCATTTACAATAATTCAACTGTGATTTAAACAGGCTCCCAGTCCATACCATTATCTCTCACTAAGTGCCTGATTTAGTAAATGCCATCATACCAGGAAGCCTGCCATTCCAAACAACCACTTCATGTGCTGAAATATTGCAGAGCAGGGAATTGCAGTGAGAGAGACTCCAGGACCTGAAATCATAACATTTCTCACAATGTCTCCCACAAACAGTGTTAATATTCAAGATAGATTTAGACTATGCCCTTCAGCAAGAAAACAGTGATAAGCAATCAGGCACTCTAAAAGTCCCTAAGGCAGCTGATATAAAGAAGAGGAAGAAGGGAATGGGATTAATCTTCTTGTTCCTTCATGCAGGATGGGTGGGGAGCTGCCCTAGCTGAAATATTCCAGCTCTAGGATTAATCCATTTCCCTGTTTCCTTTGCAGACTCAGAAAGAACTTGAAAGTGCTTCTAAAAGTCTCGGGTTTTGACTGTGTCTAGATACGCAATGAAGGAAGAACAGACCATTCAAATACTGCCAGTTCTGTTGGTATGAAAATCATCTGTCAGGACTCCAAAAGTGTAAAATTGTCAGATAAAACAGGAAGGTTAAAAATGTATATTTAGAATCTTTCTCTGCTTTTCAGTTTCTGAGCCCATGAGTTTGTCTGGTCTTCAGTGCATGGAATACATTCTCACTGCGGAGTAACATGGCAGGGATGGCTGTCAGTAACTCCAACCGCCCAGGCAGGGAAGGCAGCTCTATAAGAGGGGAAAGCTGCTAAATCCAGTTCTGTCATTTTGCAGACACAATGCTGTAGAACTCCTTATGTTAGCCTGGTCCAGGTGACAAACAAAAGGAGAGAGCATGTGAATATCATCTCCACTTTACAGATGTGGAAAAGCCCAAGAGCTATTCTGACTAAAGACACTTCAAGACTGCTGCAGAGCCAATGACAGACCTTGAGATCCTTGCATCTTCATCAAATAAGTCCATCCATAGGAGATTGGAAAGTGCATGAATTTACTGTATTCTTCCCAGCATGGTAATTAAAAGTGTTTCTTTTAATTGGAAAATATCCTTATCATAATATATATGTATATATAAATCCTGTATTACCAGGCCAGACAAGACTGGAACTTTGTGAAGCAGTAGAGAACTATGGTAAATCATGTTGATGAAAATGGAGGTAGTTAAAAATAATGTAGGGTGTATGATTGAGGAGAAACTGAGCAAGAGGATTTCCCCCCTGTTCTGATGGTTAAACAGAGAGGACAGAGTCAGTCTGAGTGGGAGGTAGATAGCCAGGTACGAAGAAATACTGGCAGCAACTAAATTATCAACAAGTGCATACTGTTAACTTCCTCTAAAATCTGGGCAGTAAAGGGAGGCTTATGGCCAGCCTGTGTATACAAGTTTCTTCTTCACCAACACAAGGACATAAAGGGAGAGAGGGAAGAGCTGGTATGTACATGAGTCTCTTCCCAGGATGAAGAAGAACAGGGCAGGAGCTTGGATACACTTCTAGGTATCAATACCAGATGTAGCTTCTTTCCTTTAATTACCTGAGGAAAGATCTTTGAGGTCCCATAGGATGCCTTGTCTGTAGTTCACTATGTAGATCTGATGTTCGGGTAGAAACCAAGCCTGTTCCAAATAGGTTGGAACTTCTTCCTTACCTGCCTTCTTAACTCACTTCCACTTTAGCAGAAAATTTCTGGAAGACAGTATTTCCCTTTTACATCTTCCCATTGATGTAGGAAACTCCCCATGTGCACTTTAGTCCTAGAAGCTGCAACATACTGAAAGGCTAGAGAAGTCTTCCTAGAGCTTGAGTTCAGTCATGAAAAGGTATCGCAAGAGGAAAAACTCCAGAAAAGTGTTGATGGAGAAGGAAGAAAGCAATAGGCTTGCTAGGTGATAGGGATTGGATTATGGCAACAGCTAGGCCTGTCCTCTGTCCTGTGTCCAGACTCAGAGCCATCAAAACCAAGGGTCTGCCTGAGGCCAGATGCCGACTTCTTCGCTGCTTCATCACTCTAAGACATTCCTTCTGGTTGCATTTCTATCCTGCTATCTTTCCTGATGCCCCCCACAGCAAAGACCACGGGATCCAAAACTAAACATTACAGTGCAGAAATTAAGTAGGACAGGATGTCCAGCTTGCCTTGGCAGCTTTAAGAGCAGCCAAATATCCACAGCACACTGAACTCCAGCAGAAAAGCCCTTTGACAAAGTAGCTGGGAACTAAGCAGTGTTTACACCAATGGTCTCAATTTAAGGACTGCCTGAGGTTTACCGTCCCCTGTTGGGGGGACACTGTCAGGCCTGATCATTTTGACAGTGTCCTTTTAATTAATCCTTGTGAACAATGGCCCAGCACCTGAGCAGTCACTCGGCAGCCTTCATGGCTCTGAGCCCAGAGCTGTGCAGCACTTACAAAAGTCCCTAATGAGAGAAAGATGCTGCCATTGCTGGCCTCGGCTCTGTTTATAGACACTGTCTGGCAGCACAGCGCGCTCTCTACCGTTTGGCTTCTGTTTACAGGGGGAGGGAGACGCAGAAAGGAGGTGAGTCAGCCCTTGGCCCCCAGCTCCTGAGCAGCGATTGTTAATGTAATTATTCCAGAGCAGCCGAAGTGTTGTGAGATCCTGCAGCAAACAAAGTGGAGCCTCATTCCCACTAAACATGCGGGCAGCCCCTGACACTTGAGCGAAGTCAGATGCTCTCCGATATTCTGGGCAGAGCTGTCACGTTCAGAAAGGCAGCTGAGAGCCAGTGCTCGTGCTCCCCTCCCACCCGGGCTGCCTCGGCGCTGCAGAGGGGCCCTTGCCTCCTTAAGGGAGGATGAAAACACCAAGGCAGGTGGGTCCATAGGACCCTAGGACACCTTCCTAGGGTGATCCCCTAGGAAGGCACAACACTGACAGGCCTGTGGTGAGGCCTGTGAAAGGCAGAGTGTTGAAATGCTGTCATTTAGAGACAGGAATCATTGGGCTGTGATTAGAGAGAGCCAATGTGGACAGAGACAACAATACCGCTGCCCCTACTTTTCATCTCACTAGTGCATTCACAAACTCCTTCCCTTCAACTGCTGTGTCTGGGACCTTGACATGACCTCCATCAAGCAACCAGCTATGCTGTAAGCCCAAACAGCTACACAAACCAGAGTACCTCAGGACTCCCTGGTCTCCCAGGGTAGCCTGATTCCCCACAGCAGGGCAGGGCAGCTCAGCCCAGGCGGCCGTGTGAGCTCCCAGGCTGCGGCTCTGACGCCTGTGTCGTGCAAATGGCTTTCGCAGAGCAAAGGCAGCCCGGGCCTCCATCACGAGCCCTGGAGCATTTGGAGTAACAGCAGGAGCGCTTGGTGAGCGGAAGGTTTTAATCAGCCAGCACTACGAGAACTCGGGGCTGGGAAGTGACAGCCTATCATGAACGCTATAAAAGACGAGCAGAGGAAAAATGTCATTTGGCCACAAGAGGAAGAATAAATTTCAGAGACTGGGGGTGTTGCTGGCCCACAGAAACTCAACCCCAAACAGGAAAAGAATTGAGAGTCCTGCATTTTTTATGCAGAAGAGAGAAATTTACACATGTTTATGCTGGATAGAGAACACCACTGGGCTGGAGGCAGCTTTGGAGCCTCCAGTAGGCTGGTGCCAGTTCAGCAAGAAGCATTGGTGGGACCAATGGCAAGAAATGCCCTGGCTCCATGCCCTACAGCCCCTTCAGCGGGGTTGCAGATGGCCCCTGCACCTCTGGCCACCCCGTGCCCTGGGACATGCCCTGCCGACCAGCCCAAGGGCACTACCAGAGACCCAGCCACTCATGCCACAGGGAGCTGCGGATGGAGGGGCCCGGTGGGGACCTGGAAGGCCGCCCACGCAGGCTTTCCCTGTGCCCAGGCTCATACTGGTTCAGCTTCTAACAGATGCACTAGGGAGGAGTACGCAGCTGGGAGGAAGAGTCCTGGGAGGAAGAGGGCCCTACTATGGTCCTGGGACCCTGCACAGGTTCCCAGACTTGCCATAGTCATTGCCACAGAAACAGCAGGGCCCGGCCTGTGCTGTCAGGGGCCCTACTCTCCCCATCCCTTCTGACCTGGGCAGCTGTGGAGGGCCAGGGCCCTCTCCCCTCCTTGCTGAGACCTGGCCCTCACCTCCTTTTTGCAGGAGGAGTATCCCTCGCTGGCAATGCTCAGCCCAAGGGCATGCTGCTCCCTTCCAGTGCTTCCAGTGATATTTCTGTATGTAATACACTTAATTATTTCCTCATAAGGCTGCTAATGGCTTTCCTATATAATACATTTAATTTAATTCTCCCCTCCTCCTCATCCTACCAGCTACCCCTTAACTGTCACCTCAGGGAGCTGCACTCTGCAAGTAGATGACAACTCCCTGGGCATTACCAGGAGGAGCAGAGCAGTCTCCTGGCACAGATTCTGCTCACTGATCAGGTTCCCGTTGCCTCCAGATGATCTTCCTCACTCTGCGTATTTGCCAGCAAAGGTGACTGGAGATGTCAGGCTAACGGAGAGGACAAATGCTATCTACCAGTGATGTAAAACTCCAGCACAGCCCCTCACTCACTCCATGGCAGCATGACTGTGTCTTACCCATGGCGCAGGCTTCCCCCAGCAACTGTTTCCAGAACTTGGACCCACTGAAGACAGGCACCTGAAGTAGGAGACAGCCCTGCTGCTTGTGTCTGAGGCTCTCCCTGCCCAGGAGCTGAGGGGCTCACTCTGGCTGCCCATGCCATGGGCACAGGGATGTCTTCCCAGCAGACTGAGCAGCACAGCGGCAAATACTGGAGGGGAGGCATCTGTGAGACAAATTCCTCCCTTGTTCAGCAGTTTTGGAGGACTGATGAATTTGGAAACTCACAAACAGCATGGGATTCACAGGTTATGAAAACTAACCAGCAACCAGCCCTGATTTACAACCTGATTCATTGCATCTCTGTGTTCTAGCTTGTGTGGTTAATAATGTCACCAGAACCCCTTGCACGGGATTATTTCCTTGTAAATCACTCTCTGCTGCTCTCATCCCATGAACACATTGGAGCCAAACTGCCCCCTAGGAGGCCCCAGACCAGAGGGCCCAGCATTTTCAGGAACTGGGGTTCTTCACATAGAGGACACCATGGGGCCACACACATGGATGCCAAGGAGAAGGACACAACTCTGTGCTATCCCAGTCCCAGTAACTGCCCATTTTGAGAAGGCAAGAAGGGACTTGGCCTTGGGGATGCAGCTGCCCCATGCTGGGCAGTTTCAATGCTGCAGGAATCCCCTTCTGCCTCCCGCTGTTGCAAAGCCATCCCACATGTTGCCTCATGCTCCAGCTCCACCCATCCAAGCCATTTTGCCAATTTTATTAATTGCTTTTTTAAATAACATTCAGATCTTTTGAAGCCCTGATTTCCCCCTCAGCATAAGTAATGTTTGCATGTGTAAGCAGAACCCTACTCTGCCAATTCCCATCTGCTGTGTTGTTCACAGACAAGCCATACTCCAAACAGGACAGTAAGATTGTAAGGCTAGAAACTAGTCTTTAAATATGCCATTGTAATACCCTGTCCCAACAGGATTCTGCTCATGACAGAAACTAATGGTGATAATAAAATAAAGACGTAATTACTCGGTGTGAGCAGGATTTGCCAGCAGGTGCGGGAAGCAGACCACAGTTTAACACACACATGGCAGGGCTGCAGCGCGGCAGCACATTGCCATGGGGGCTGCTCTCTGGGCAAGGCACATCCAGCTGCCCTACTCAGGCCAAAGGAGGGCAGATGTACAGGGTCATTGCAGTATTCGACTGCTTTCCAGGGCTGCATTTTGAGACCTGTGCTCGTTGAGGCCTTCATACTCACGTTTGATGCACCGGTTTGTGCCTGGAGCCGTTGTCCATCCTGAGCAACACTGTCTCCCACAGACATTTGGTCTAAGCAAAAAGACAAAACAGCATGATTAGGAAAAGGAAAGCTGAGGTCTCTGTGCAGCTAGTACGTCTGAGTCACCCATAAAATTATTTCCTGCACTATCTGATGTTTCCTTCCAGATGGACCAGCAGCTGAGATCAAAACCAACTGGACAAGGGCTGAGTTGTTTAACTGCTTGGAAAAGGAACCCCCAAGGAATATGTGAATGCCATAGTGTGAGCGATTCCATAGGGAGTGTCTCCCTTTTGAGCTGTTGTACTCTGTTCCTGGCACAGTGCTGAGAGCAACCATTTTCCTCATGAGGGCAATTGGAGACTAATGACTTGCGATCATTAAAGACCTCACAGTATAGACCTCTATAATTTGTTCCGAGTGCCGGGGTATGAATTGGGCCCAATTCCAACGTTGGTCATTGCATTTCGTCTCTATGAAGACCCCAGGCTGTTCAGCTGAGGACAACGTTTTGCTCCGTCCCTCGCTCCAAGCTGCTGCTCCTGCTGCAGTTCAGGGCTCCAGGCCCGCGACCGCTCCCGCCGCTCTCTCTTTGCAGGAACCCGTGTTCTGCATTCCAGCTCCCTGCCTTGGGCACAACGAGCCCATCAAACGTGCCTACTTGGTGTGCACGGTGTTATGTAATTTCAGGATGCTTAAAACTTTTCTGTGGTTGTTAAGTGTGGCACTTTGCTGCAAGGAGTTTACAGCTATCTTTTCATAACAACATCATTCCCACCTATCCTTCATTATGCGTTTTAGATTATTTTCTTTAGTGATCACTGGCACCAGAAAGCTGTGCATCCAACAGAGGCTCTGCAAAGCTTAAACAGGCAGCTAATCCTGCTTCCTCTGGTGACGCCTCACATTTAACTGGCTGTCACAAGAAGGAATAGGAAGTGACTGGTTGTTTTATGAGACTATTTATCTTTGTATGTCTTGGTAGGTGGGAGAATACAGTCATCAGAAGATGTAAAGTTAGAAGTAGTCAGCCTGAAAGCTCTGGAAAAGCTCTGAAAATGAAGTTGGGAGTATGGTTTATTTCTAACATCAGACAGGGCAGTTAGAGCAGCTGACAGAATTTACAAGAATCCCAGAAACATATACATTTATTTTCCGGAACAACTTTCACAGGAACACAGCAGGGTCAGAGGATACTTGAGCTCAGCACTGGCATCCTAGCGATTCCTGCATGCATGCAGCATGCAGTGAAGACTCCAGAAGAGCTGGAGCTCAAACTGGGACTCACATTTTAAGATGCCAAAGACAGTGGGTAACAGGCATGCTAAGGGATGTTATGAAGTTCAGGAATTAGGCTGCCTGTCTAGATGCAATTGCTGGGCATGGGAAGAAGAAATGATCTGAGAGGCCCCATAATTTGCAAAGCACTATCTAACCCTTTGAGATCAACCCTTATTAACCTACGCAGACTTTACGGGGAGAAAGCACATAAAGTCTTTTGGTGTGGCTTCCTCCAACAACACAAAATGAAGAAATAATTACTGGATAAACTTACTTCTGTTCTGAGTTGGCTAGAGCACTGGTTTTCACTTTGTTGTCTGTGTACACCTAGGCTATCTATGGGGCTCTTCTTTAAGGCAAGAGTAGAAAGTATCCAAGAAAAGTAAATCTCATGTCAGCAAACTTCCATTTACTTACTTCGTAAGAGCCCACAAGAGGCCTTGAATATTTTAAAGATCAAATCAGTAGAAGTTGAAAATGACTTAGGTGGAGCATGTCTTTAGATAATGAAGGGCTGCTGAAGAACTGCACTCCAAGCATCAGCAAGGGCCACTTTGCTTAGGCTGTCACAGCTCCCATTCTTTCAGCTCTGCTGATGGAACACACTTTGCAAGTCTTATTTAGCAGATCTGGCAAAGAGAAAAGCCCTTTCCCATTCTCACTTTAACTTACTGACATAATCAGAAGTTGCTTCTTGTAGGCAAAGCAAGTATCTTCTTCAGAGAAGCTGTTTTGGCCTTGAATCACACTATCAGTTCTTCATTAAATTAAAATTCAAAGTCTATCTACATCTTCTACATCTCTCTCTCACATGCTCGGGAGGGAGCATACTGATAACTGCTCTCAATGCCAACAGCAAATAGGAGTTTATAGGGGAAAATGTGAGACTAGACAGAGGCCTGAAACCTAGCAGACATGATCATTCTTTGAAGATTTTAAACCCCTGTAGGGTTAGACACAAGTGAATCACTGGCAGAGTTAAATCACATCCCAGTAAACAGAATGGGATTGGAGTAGTCTGAAAGAACAGACCCAGGCAGAGCACTGTACCTGTCAGGGGTGCTGAAGACAGCACCACAGGCTCCTTTTCCCGGGATTCTTTATAAAAGAAACAAACCTGAGACATCCTTGCCTTGGTGGACCCCAGGGTTATGCCCCTACCTTAATTGAAAAAAGATATTCTGAGCTCTCACATGTTTCATTTTTCTGACAACAGAGAGCTCTGGGACCCACTTTGGGCTTTGCAGGAGATACTGCCAGATTTTGCAAACTGTGGAAAGGCCTGAGCAGGCCTCCTGTGCCACAGATGTGCCCCCTTACGCCACAGCAAAGCACTTTCTCTAGCAGCCTGCCCGGAGGCTTCCTCTGAGCTCTTTTGCTCACTAGGCAGGCCCCCTCTCCATGCCATTCCTGGTCCCTTACTATTGCTACCATGCATGCTAGCTCACATCACTGCTGCTAGCAGGCTGCACCCACCCTGTGTGACTTGTGGCTGCTCTGCTGTGGCCTTTGAAGGCAAGGGCCAGCAAGCCCAAAGGAGCAGTTGCAGCCTGTGTGGGCAAAGCTGAAACCCAAAGAACAAGCACAGGCAGAGCAAAGAGCAGGGCTGAGTCACCATGTGTGGTGAGTTTGACAACAGAACATCTTCCAGAGTGACGTGCTAGCCAGTTCAAGAGGACAGGCACATTCATCAGGTGCTTTCTGGCAATTCTCACCCCTAGCAAGGTGAGTTATGCCAGGCTCCTGCCAGCAGCATCCTCAGTGCCTGTACTCATGGGTGTGATGCCCTTGCCCCAAGGAGGCCTGTGATCCTCCTACAAGCACCTTTCCATTGCTGGAGGCTGTTGCAGAGGCACTGGCACTACTATGGTGAATGCTCCAGGCCTCTGCTTGCACCCACACACACCCTCAGGGCCACCAAGTCTCATCACCTACCACAACACACAGACACCAAACTAAACCCTGCCCTACAGTAGGGAGGGGAGAGGGAGCAGAAGGGGACATACCCTTGGATCATCTCTTGACCATTGAACCCTCCTTTTCAGGGCACAGCAGGTGGGGAGCTCATCCTCCCACAAGGAACCAACATCAGCCGCCAATATCCCTGCAACTCCCTTGGATCTTCCTACCCAGACTCACAGCACTGAATCTGGAGAGGTGTAGGAAGGAGAGCCCTCCTGCAGTCTCAGTGGACTGTGGAGAACCCCTAGAGAAATAGAAGAAATTAACACCCAAGAGACAGATGAATGGAGAGAGGGTGCCCAGAGGAGTGAGGGGACTCATTTTCAGAGAGGGCTGACTGCTAAGCAGGAACCAGAAGAATAGAGGATGAAAGCTGCAGTGGGGAGAACCAAAATCATATATGTGTCTATTAACTGAGGAAGGCAAACATCACAAGAGACGACAAAGCCCTGCCAGGCTGAGTGCTCCATACATGAAATCAGCAACAGATACAAAAATACTGAAGAGGAAACAATTTAGTAACCTTGGGAATCTCTTCATGATTCCCGTGGCACAGATGGGATTTAATCATTCATCTTCCAAATCCCAGGGACACAAGTCAGTGTCATAATCTCCAAGTTATGGATGGAAAGAGGCTGAGTTATGTTCACTCAGTATGTTACCAGCAGACCCACATTTGTTGTGCCTGTGTTTTAAGCCAGAAGGCCACAGTACCGCTTCCTGTCTGAAAGCCACAAACCTGTTAGCCCAGTGCCAAGCTAATACATACTGCCTTTTAGCTGAGCTCCCACCCACTCACCATGTGTGGAGTAGACTTAGTGTGAGACAGACAGAGATACTTTGCCAAAGATTACACTGCAAGTCCGTGACACAGGTCGCAGCTCGCAAGTCTTACAGCTCATTGGCGCACTGTTGTGTGTGATGAAGCTCAAAGCTAATGCCAGTGTGAAGAGTCCTTCAGACTCCAGTCAGATTGCAAAGTAGAATTTGTTCTCAAGCTGAGCCTTCCCTGTCTTGGTCATTCTGGGGTTATGTTCTCCAAAGGACATCCCAGCGTGTGCGGATGGGAGCAACTTAGCAGGGCTGCCCTCAAGAGATAAGGACAGAAATAACACTGGGGAGATGTTCCTTCCATAACTTCCCTGATGAGAGCATTTAGGTGAAGAGCGAGACAAGGGAGAACTCCCAGAACTGCAGATGAGTGCTTGGGAAGAGTGACATGTGGAGAGCACAGACAGGGCAGAGAAAGAATGCAAATATTTCACAATAAGGAATCCCAGAGAGACAATACCAGTTGGCAGCCAGGTGGGCAGGAGCTTGCAGAGCACAGGAGATCAAATAGGAATTGGCATCAACAGTGGGACAGATAGTTTTGGGGGGTTTGCAGGAAGAGACCAAGTCCTGGAAGCATAGAGTTCCAGTTAAAGCATTTACTTGAGATTTGCATGGCTTAAATATTATGCAGTTTTCACTGTCTTACGAAGAATTCAAAATGGATCGTTAGACACTTAAGGAGCACAGCATGTTTGTAGCACGGAGGAACATTGCCCAAGAGAGAGCTGGAAACCCCGTGTCCCCAGCTGTGTTCAGCTTGCTGTGCACGTCCTGTCACCAACACTTCCAGCAAGCCCACGGCTCAGACGTGAGCCACCTCTGCTGGCTCTGTCAGCCCTGGGCGGCTCCAGCACTGCTCTGACGCACAGGACAGCGTCTGGCTCCCTTCAGGCCTGGCGACACTGGCGCTGGGGGGAATTGGAGGCGGGCCTGTAAATGTTGAGCTGCCCCTAATCACCCATCATTGTACAAG